TTGGATGTTAACTGATTTTACCAGCAGGCTTGCAACCAGGTTGCCAGATAAAATATAAGAGGCACCGTTACATTTGAATTTCAGGAAAACATGAAATAATAATTAAATACGCAGGAACATACACAATATTTCAGACACATTTATACTAAAAATATTCATTTGTTTATCTGAAATTCAAATTTAATCGTGTGCTCTACATTGTTTGCTAAATCTGGCAACCCTGAATATACGCATATATACAACTACATACAAAGTGAAAACAACTACACAATTCTCTATTTTGTTTTTTTTTGGTAAAGATTTTATTTATTTATTTGACAGAGAGAGACACAGCGAGAGAGGGAACACAAGCAGGGGGAGTGGGAGAGGGAGAAGCAGGCCTCCCTCGGAGCAGGGAGCCTGATGCGGGGGCCTGATCCGAGGACCCTGGGATCATTTCCTGAGCCAAAGGCAGACGCTTAACAACTGAGCCACCCAGGTGCCCACAATTCTCTATTGTTAACAAAGCTTTCCTTCATTACCACGAGTATGGTTTTAAATATTTTTGATAACTGTGAAAGTGATTATTCAAATTAGTTGAGTTTTGCCAAATTTCTTCATCTATAAAATATAAATAGCCTTGTCTCTATATAATCTTGAGTAACTGTATTAGTAGTCCTAGGGAACTATTGATTTTTACCCTTGCTGTTGAGACCATCGGTTATGTCTTTTCCGACTTTTCATTGTGTAAAACCATGGTGTATTTAACGGCTAGTATCAAGACTCTGTCTGAGATGCTTTGGTTGTATTAGAAATCTGTGGTCTGGAACCCCTCAGTGTCTTTACTGAATAAACCTCTAGTCTCTGCCACAGATTAAGTGAGGAAACAAATGTTGAAAAAAAAAAAAGAGCTGCAGAACAGTGATATGCATAATAAGATTAGAGTTATCTAAAAATGAGTGTGCATACATTCTATTTCCACATACCTCCTACGTGCTTCTATAGGCGCACACGATATCTGGAAAGATTTACATTGGACTGTTGACAGTGCTTATCTCTAGGAAATGGTTTGTGGGGAAAAGGAAAGAAACGGGGACTTATTTTCGATTCTTACAATTCTATACTTTTCTTGGCTTTATAATCATTTTCAAAAAACAGCTCTCAAGGTGGTTTACATGTCCAGCTAGCCTTGGAACCACTCACCATTATCTGACTTCTGTGTTCCACTCTCATCAGAATACTGGACCATTGGCTATGATACCGATTATAGCAATGGTTGCATGGCCCGATGAAAAGAATTCCGTAGCAGTCTTCCTGTGTGACGTTCTGGTAAGGCGGGTGCTGCGAAAAGGAAATGGTAAACTAGGAATTCATGTGGGTGTTTTTATTTTCATTGAATGCTTTTTTGGGATAAAAATGCCTGAGTACTTGTTTTATAAAGTGCCATGGACATTTGATAGATATTGATCATCATGTAAGCAATCCACCTGTGATCCTAAGCAATGCAGTCCAGATGATGCCTTACAGCTTTAAGTTGAGTAACTGATTCTGTTTTAAATGTTTTCCCATACTGAAAAGATAGATATAGAAAACCATTGATATAAATTGGGTTTTTTTGGTATCTATTTTTTTTTACATTAGAGTTTTAAATCCATTCTCCATGTAAATAAAATTCCTGAAGTTTTTGTCTGAATTTTATGATTCCGAAACCTAGCAAATGATTTCACTTTTCTACAAACTGATTTTTTTCTATAGGTAAACTGCAATACATTTGAAAAGTATTTTTCCATTAAATGAAAAAAAAAAGTATTATGTTTCTGAGTGTCTGCTGTTACTGTTTCCACCCACTAAAAAAACATTCCATTGCTACTCAAAAAATGTCACACTTTTTTCCCAAAACATTGTCAGAAATTCCTGTGATAGTCTTTTTTTTTGTTGTTAATTCTTTGCTAGGGTAAAAGGGAGTGAATATTATGCTGTAGACTTTGCCTTATGCACCACTGTAATTACATTTTGAGAAAACTAATTTTGCATAAACAAAGAAATAAAGCACCAAGTATTTTATTTGTAACCACAGTTAAATCAAGGGTAGATCTTTTGTTTCTGAATATGGGAAAGGTAAATAGGGCAGCCCCTCTTACAATTCTGAGCCAGAGTGCATTAAGTTTTCCTGTGTGCCCAAGCTAGCAAACAATGTCATTTGTTGATATTCACTGTTAATTACTGGTCTTCACACAAATCCAGCAATAGTATTATTTGGAATTCCATATTCCTTCAAGCCCAACCAATGTTTTGCCTTGCATTGCAATGCTCTACAAATTTGTGTAAAGAAATATATCATTGTTAAACAGAAAAACAAAAAGGCTTTTAAAAAAGAATTACTTCAAAATTCTCAGTAAGACTATTTTTTGTTTGTTTCCGGCTCTAATCTGAACATCAGAGTAAGTACCGCACGAATTTGTGAGTTTTCCATTGTTTGTGAATGAAGCGTGAATGAAGCGTACTCTAACGCTTTTATTTTTATAAGCCTGTAACTTCACACGGACTGTTGGCTCTACCACACCCTAGCTAGCTTTTACTAACAAAGGCACACCTTTGGAAAGTATGCAGTGTGCACTGCCACCCTTCCCTTGTAATAAAGTCTTACCACTGAGTAGTGATGCTTCTGTTGTTGACATAAGTAATAAAGCTGTAATGAATAAAAAAATAATTTCTTGCTTATTCTAATGAAAGTGCAGTCGTTGAAAATGGCTCTAGATGTTCAAATAGGAATGGTACTATGCCTTCATTCATTTATTGAACACACTCTTCAAAGAGATTTTTATCCCAGATTCCATTTTATTTCCTAGTAAGTTGGAGTTCTTTAAGATGGCCAAGTGGACTGGTTTACAAAGTGAATCTACAGAGTTTTACTTTCTCTTTTCAGACTTTGCTAACTGCCCTACCCAATTGCTCCTTTAACCCAGAGAGAGAAAGCAGGATGGACGCTGTGCCCTTGGGGAGATGACCCCAGGATTCAGGTGGTTCCCGAGCCAGCACTACACCCTAAAGCCTCTGCTTTGGGCAGGAAGCCAGGCCCCTCCTTCCCTGCTACCGTTTTACTATTATATTAAATCCTTCCAACCCCCATCCCACACATACAGCAGCAAAAGAAAGATAAAGATATCCCTAAAATATATTTCTCCATATTTGAGATATATCCATGGACTTCTACTGACTCCTGATGAATCTGCTGGGAGTTTCACCAGGATTTGCTTATTAACTAAACGGCCAACTCTTATCATGAGGTCACACGTTTTGATCATTGCAGATGTGTTTAACCTTTTTCTTTCAAACTCTTTCTTCTACTCACTTTTTATGGACAATGGGAATGGAAGATTCTGTGATTTGGTTTCCTCTGCCTATATTTCCTTTCCATTGCCACCTGACTTAAATGGGATTGTGGTTGAAAGACATTAAGTGGTTTTGCCCATTACTTGCTGCTAGTGTGCTTTGGAGCTAGTATTTGACTCAGGTTTTTTTTTTTTTTTTTTTAAAGATTTAATTTATTTATTTGATGGCGAGAGACATAGCGAGAGAGGGAACACAAGCAGGGGAAATGGGAGAGGGAGAAGCAGGCTTCCCGCCGAGCAGAGAGCCCGATGCAGGGGCTCGATCCCAGGACGCTGGGATCATGACCTGAGCTGAAGGCAGACACTTAATGACTGAGCCACCCAGGCGCCCCGGGAATAAGTCTTAAAATGTACATGGGAATTTGTCAGAGCACTCCAGGTACCCAAGGTGTCTATAAAGGCCTGAAGAGTTTGGAGGAGGCAGGGGACTGGTAGACTAGAGAAGGAAAAATCTATTCTACTTCTCCATATCTTTTTAGTGAAGGCTCTTGTTATGTCTGTCTACACTGGATTGAGGGGGAAAAAAATCACACCCATTAATATTAGTTTGATGTCCTGTTAGAACTAAGACCAGGACAGGGTAATGATTTAAGTTAAGCTCTGAGCATTCTGGTATTCAACTCCAAAAAATAATCAATTAAGTAATCAATTGTTGGGGTGCCTGGGTGGTACAGGCTATTAAGTGTCAAACTCTTGGTTTTGGCTCAGGTTGTCATTTCGTGGTCGTGATCTCACGGTCATGGGATCAAGCCCCACATCAGGCTCCATGCTCAGCGAAGAGTCTGCTTGAGAGTCTGTCTTCCCCCTGCCCCTCCTCCCTACCCTCTGAGATCTCGCTCTCTCTCTCAAATAAATAAACAAGTCTTTAAAAAAAATTAACTAATGGATTGTTAGTTATATAAATTGTCAGTGGTGATAGTGTTGTCTGATAGTAACAGAACACTCAGCTCAAAAGTTAAGGGGAAAGTTCCATAGCAAGCGGTCTGGAGGGAGGGTATTCCCCTGGGTCATTAAGTCAGAGGCTTAAGACATCGTGGAGGGAAATTATTTCATCTTTCTGCTGTCTTCCTCACAGCTCTGGGCCACCTCCTGCCATTCCCCATGGTCACAGGGTAGCTGCAGCAGTTATAAACATCATGGGCTCGCACAAAAGTATCCAGAGGCTGGATGAGCAGTGAAGAGCACATTCCTTCTGGCCTCCTGCTTTATAATGAGTCCCCCAGAGATCTCTCCTTTCCTGTCACTGGCTGGTGTTTGACCAAGCCCTGGTGGCGTGACCAGTGGAGGTTCAGCCTCCATCCCCACCGCAACCCAGGACTGAGGAAGGCTTATCTCCCGATGACTGAATGCAACCCAAGAAGGGTAGCAGGGACACAGGTGGGGGAAGGCACCTCCCACAGCATTTGTCACCATGGTTTATGCAATTCTTCCATTTGGTAAAAAAAAAAAAAAAAAAAAAATTTTTTTTTTTTTTTTTTTTAAACAGAGACTGGTCAGCATTGATATTCATTAAAATTTAGATGGGATACTTCTCAGCTAGGCATTTTGGCAGGTAAGTCCCAGAGCGGAAAAAAATAAGGACAGGCCATTAAAATGCACAATGATTAAAGTCTTAGTAGACAGCATCTGTACACCTGAAGCTCCACATGATGAACTTACTTTATTTTTACCATGTGTTACCGAATTCAGCTCACTTCAGGAAAAAGGTGAACACTTTCCAAGTGAAAGATGTCTTTTTCTGCAGTAAAATAAACACCCTCGCACAATAGGATCCCCTGCCCAAACTGAGACATACTTCCAAGTGGAAAATCTAGTTCCATGGAACGAGTATTGTGACTGAAACTTTGAGAAGATCATTGTCCTTCTTCAAATACTCAATAGCCATTGAATTCAATATTGTTTTGAGAGCCAACTCTTCAATTAAAAATAATACTCGTTCACGACCTTATTACCCTGTGTGAAGAAATGTGAATAAGCCATGAAAAGCTGATCTGCAAACAGCCACAGAATCATAGTGGCTGAGATGGGGAAATCCAGGGGTTTCGGCTCTTTCACGTAAGTGACAATGAGTCCAGGGGAGAGGAGATCACAGAGGAACCTGAGCCATAGCCTACACATATTTATGCAGCCTTATGTATATTTTCTTCACTGTTTTCTCTGACTTTTTTAAATCCCAAAGCATAATAATTGTGGAGAAAGTAATAAATTGACCACATCGTTAAAAACAATGCCATTTCTCATAAGTCTATTTTTGTAGGACTTTTGTGAAATTTTAAAACTTCCGAGGTAGTTACTATTTGCCTGAATTTGGCAAATGGAGAGTGAACTGATCTAAAGGTGATCTTCAGTTCAGACAGGTACATGGTATCTTCCCTTTCTTCTCTGTAATCAATTCTCAAAATTGGAAAGTAGAGTATTTCACAAGCCAAAAATCAACAAAACAATCTTGACTTGTTCTCTAAAGGCTAGTCTTTTTTAAACACATTACTTTTCCTCTCTGGAAGACATATTGGCAAATAATAATGCAGTGTATTTACTTATTTTTTCTCGTGCATCAGCACTTTTGATTTCCATAATACTGAAAAGTAAGGAATATTCATATCTTTTCCACTCTACAGATGGATATGGAGGTCCAGAGATGTCAAGTGTCTCAGCCCAGAGAAGGCAGAGCTAGATCTTGAATTCAGATCTCTTGACTTCAGGAATCTGTTCTTTTTGAATAACTGGATGTGCTTTTGACCAGAAGGAATGTTGACAGTGAAAGCAAAAGTGAGTACCTGGGTTTCTTTCCTAAATCTGTAAATGACTGCCAGGGAAGAGAACTTTTGGAACTCTCCTAGCTACTTTGATAGGTAGATTCTGACCCTTTCTTTCTCTGGTAAAGGCATAAAAACTGCCTTAGAGTCTTGAAAAATATCATGGTGGTGGGGGGAGGGGCTTATCCTTAGATTACTTAACGTCAAGGAAGCTCTAGCTCCTAGTGTTACCAGATACTGGCAGATTTTGATTCCTTTTCCATCGTGGCAATTGATTTTCATCTCTGACCTAGTATTTACTTTAATTAGAAGAATAATGATAAGCATGCTACCTGATGGGATGGAATTAGAATGTTCTCCAAAGTGATGAGATTGAGTCACCTCAATATTATGTTATTTATGAGGGCGAGAAGTGCTAAATAAGCGAAAATAATAAAGTGAACACACTAGTTTTCTTTTTTTGATATGCTGTGGAAAGATGAGCAGTATCCGTGGACCAATGTGTCGGAATCACCCAAAGGGTGAGGAGTGTGTCATCTGGTTTCTGGTCCACCAACTCTGCAACCTTAAGGAGATGCTTCTGGCTGGAATTCAGGTATTCCTTGTAAAACAGAGAAAGCATTGGATTAGATAAGTTAGAAAGATCTTTTAATTCTACAATTTTAGGCTCTTAAATTGTCTTGGGTGTCTACAGCAGTCTGTACCGTGTCTTGTTATGCTTTTTGCTACCTTCCCTACAGCCCCCAGCAGTTGTTCAACATTTTCCGGCCCACCCCTGATTAGAAGAGATATGCTGATCTAATTGAGTGTCCCCATCTTATTAGAGTTCCAGCAGAAAAAAATGAGCAAACGACCAGAAGAGATGGAGAGCAACAGTGCAGTAGAGATGGTGCTTCTCTCTCTAGGCTTGGTCGCCATGCTAAACTGAGAGTGAATCCCAAAAATTTTCCCTTGTCCTTGTGACAAACTTTCATTCATTCACCTATTTGTTCCTTTATTTATCCATTCAATACATTCTACTATGGGTCCGGTACAGTGGTTGACATTGGAGATGCATCAAAAGCTTATCTAGTTTCTGGACCTTCTGGATGCATGAATGAACTTGTGAGCTAATAATAACCAGCACCTCACAATATCAGCTGAAACCTTAGCAGAGATTAAGTTGACAGCTAAAGAGGGAATCGGGCATAGGAGGGTTAGCTTTGGAATTTAAGCAGCACAGAGGGAACATCTGTGGAAAGATCTCTAGCGTGTGGCTGGATTGCATACTGTTAGGGCATTTCAGGTACAGGTGAACGGGGCTCCTGCTGCTGGAGATGCCAGATATAAAGCCATGAGTTATTTTCATCTTAGGCTCTCAGCATTAGGCTCAACATCAGGCTTTGAACCAAGAGATTCTCTAGCTCCTGGAGTTTCCAGATTTTTACTGTTTTAACTTTGTGTAATGGCCCCTTGAAACTGTGGGAAAATAATTGTTTTAAGAAAATCCAGCTCTTAGGTGCTCCTGTGGGAAGAATGACACTGTGTCATTTACTGGTTGTGTGATCCTAGACAAATGTCATTAGCTTTTTAACTAATTCTCATGTGTGAACAACCTCCTCATAAAATCGTGGAGATTAATTAGAGATTAAATTGTGGACCTGGCACATAGAGTCACTTTAAGTCACAGTTATTAGTAAAAACAAGCATTTTCAAAATGGAAAGTCCTACTGTGAATTTAATAATCATTCCATAAGCATCTGGAAATCCTAGTGCCTCACTCCTGAACTGAATGTGTTTTATCTACTCACTGTGCTGTTATGGTTTGGCAACCTGCATATTAATCAGTCATCTAAAAATTGCAAGAAGGGCGCCTGGGTGGCTCAGTTGGTTAAGCGACTGCCTTCGGCTCAGGTCATGATCCTGGAGTCCCGGGATCGAGTCCCGCATCGGACTCCCTGCTCAGCAGGGAGTCTGCTTCTCCCTCTGACCTTCCCCCCATCTCATGTGCTTTCTCTCTCATTCTCTCTGTCTCTCAAATAAATAAAATAAAATCTTAAAAAAAAAATAAAAAAAAAATAAATAAATAAAATCTTTAAAAAAAATTGCAAGAAATTTCTGATTGTACAGTCTTTAAGGTATGCAAAATAAACCTTTCCCCCCTGTTGGCACAATCACTGTGTATGTTTATGTCTTTAAAACTTAATTAGCGAGTCGAGTAGTGTGTTACCTGCTCTTCGCCGCGTCCGTGGGTTTTCCGGATCTTCGCAACCCCGCCAGCATGTCTCAGGCTGAGTTTGACAAAGCTGTTGAGGATGTTAAGCACCTCAAGACCAAGCCAACAGATGATGAGTTGTTTTTCATCTACAGCCACTACAAACAAGCAACTGTGGGTGACATAAACACAGAACGGCCTGGGCTGTTGGATCTCAAAGGCAAGGCCAAGTGGGATGCCTGGAATCATCTGAAAGGGACTTCCAAGGAAGATGCCATGAAAGCTTACGTCAACAAAGTAGAAGAACTAAAGAAAAAATATGGAACATAACAGACTGGATTTGGCTGCCAACATTGCATTTCATCTAAACTGATCTAATGCCTTTCTTCTCTAATACTGTGGATGACATGAAATAATGCAAATAGCCTGTTAACCTAGGTCCTGAAGACCGTACAGGACATGGCTCCAACAGAGTAGGGCCGCCATGGTTACTGACCTGCGCTGAGTAGTTTTTATCCATAGATCTATTAAAAGCACATTTGTTACTTTAAAAAAAAAATACTTAATTAGCAATAACAAGTTCTTAAAACTTTCTATAGCAACACAATAACCAAAAAATAATTAAAACGAATAGATACAAACAGAAGAAAAGTCTTTTCTTTCTTTCTGTGCTTGTCTTATCATCAAGTCAATTATCTGTTGACTGTGATCTGGTGAATTCGATCTAGGATACAATCTGACCAAGAAATTCTTGTTTGGCTTTTCTTACCTGGAAAAGTGCTTTAACCTTTCCTATAACCCTGTGTGTATTCTACGAACAGTGGTTGAACATGTTATTTAAATAGATAACATATCATAGGCACTTGCTCACTAAGGTGAGATGGCAGAGACTAAGCCAGATGTTGCCATTGTGACAAAACTTGTAAATATTACATCTCAATCCCAAATCAGTACTTTCTCAGGCCAGTAACTGTCCCAAGATTGCATGAAAAAAGATGAATGCCCATGATGGATAGAGTTAAAATTCTAGAATTACTGAATCCAAATTCCACTGGGGCAGGGGCAATAACAAGTTTTTATATTTCTTGAAAAAGAATGTTGAATGAATGGAGAAATATATAATATAAAATGGTTAATATCTGGACATGTATCTTTCAAAAAATATTTTGATAAATGAAACTACTCGTGTCATTGTTAAAACTACATTCTTCACAAAAACAGTATCTTTTGCTATAGTAAACAATTCTTGCATATTCTTCTATTACTGTAGGAGTTTTAAAATTATTTTATTTATTTATTATTTTTAAAGGTTTTATTTATTTATTTGACAGAGAGAGAGAGAGAGAGAGCACAAGCAGGGGGAGCAGCAGGCAGAGGGAGAGGGAGAAGCAGGCTCCCCGCGGAGCAGGGAGCCCGATGCGGGTCTTGATCCCAGGAACCCAGGATCATGACCTGAGCCCAAAGGCGGACGCTTAAGGACTGAGCCACCCAGGGGCCACTAAAATTATTATTTTAGATAACAGGTATATAAAATTGAAGAATATCATCATTAATAAGATTACTTTGAAAACATTTTCTAGTAAGTAGAGTATGCCGTTAACACTTCTTTGTGACCAAATCTAGTGTTTAGTTTTACTTTGCTTTCAGTAATATGATGCAAACCCAGTTAAAATTAAAATGGGGAAGGTATTACCTCAACGAGTACTGGGTTTTTTCCCAACTCTATGGTCTCATTTACATAGTGTGATGTGTGCTTTTTTATGCCCCTGCTGTGTATTACAAGTCATACCGAATATACTGGGATTCATTAACATTGCATATTTCTGATTAATTATTAAAACTTCAATATAGTCTTGAATTTCTACTGATAGTCAAAAACTATTCAAAATGTACATCTGTGGTTAATGGATATTGGTATAAATCCCTTGATAGTTAAACTGAGTTTTGCTCTTTGGAAATAACTACACATAACCAGTATTATAATATACCTTGAATGGAGCTAATTTTTGCTTTTTTCTTTTTAATTCTTACAATTTTTTTAGTTGAAGGATAGTTGACTTACAATATTATATTCGTTTCCAGTTATAACATAGTGACTCAACATTTATATACCTTACAAAATGATCACCATGATAGATCTAGTTGCCATCTCTTTTAGGATTCCTGGACTCAATTCTAACTTTGTGGTAATGTTCCCCCCATACCCATAATACCAAACAATTCTTGGACACCAGCAGTATGTCCATGAATTCAACTCAACTCTGACACTCCTACCTGGAGATAGCATCAGATTCAATCCTACAAGACTTCCCCCTCCCACCTCCCCCCACTTTAGATGCCAGTCTCAAACCTCAGGCTGTTACTTATGCTTCTGACCAACCAGCTTCAGATTTGAGGTTGTAACAACCTTCTCCTTAGGTTCTTGTCATTTGCTAGAGAAGCTCACAGGACTCAGGGAAACACTTAAGTTTACCAGTTTCTTAAAGGATATGATAAAATACATGAATCAACAGTCCGATGAAGAGATACACAGGGCAAGGTATGGGGAATGGGTGCGAAGCTTCCCTGACTTCTCCAAATGTTCACCAGCCTGGAAGCTCTCCACATCTAGTCGTCTTGGGTCTTTACAGAGCCTTCACTGCAGAATCATGATTGTTATTAGCCATTGGCTGATTCAATCTCCAGCCCCCTCCCCACCCTGGAGGTCAGGGGATGAGACTGGAAGTTCCAACCCTCTAATCTCAGGGTTGGTCCTCCTGGCAACTAGCCTTCACACCTGGGTAGGGTCCAAAAGTTGCCTGCATTAATAATAAGATACCCATTTCACCTTTATGCTTTGGGGCATTTTCAGTTACTATGAATGAAGATCAAATATATCTGAGAAATATATTTTGGTCATCTGACTAAATATGTATTTCTTTTTTTTCCTTTAAGATTTTACTTATTATTTTAGAGAAAGAGAGCACAAGCAGGGAGAGGAGCAGAGGGAGATGGACAAGCAGACTCCATGTTGAACGTGGAGCCTGTCGTGTTGCCGGGCTCGATCTCATGACCCCGAGATCATGATCTGAGCTGAAATCAAGGATCGGACGCTTAACCGACTGAGCCATCCCGGCGCCCCAGTATAACATCATCTGTTGCCATATGAAATTATTGCAATATTATTGACTATATTTCCTATGTTATACTTTTCATCCCCATGACTTATTTATTTTATAACTAGAAGTTTGTATTTTCACGTATTTCACCCATCAGCCCACCCTCTCCTCTCTGACAACCACCAGTTTGTTCTCTGTATCTTTGAGTCTATTTCTGCTTTGTTTTGTTTGTTCATTCGTCTTGCTTTTTAGATTCCAGACATAAGTAAAATCATATGGTATTTGTCTTTTTCTGACCTATTTCGCTTA